CATGAACGTTTCATTAACATTTTCACCAGAAGAGTCATCACAAAAAATAGAAAGCGCTGTATATACGAAGAGTAACTGTTTTTCGAAGAATTTTCTCAGATGACATTGTTGTGGAGACTTATATTTCATATGAAAATGCATGAAGAAGAGATATGAAGTTCGATCTAAGCATAAAACTGCGGCTGATTCCCTTTGTACTGCAGCCGTTTAGCTTTATTATGAAATTCAAGTTGACCCAGTCCTCTCCATTTTCGGGAGAAAATGGGCTGAGGTTTCGTCCATCATGTGACGGACATCATAAGAGCTGGAACTCATTCTTGAAGAAGTCTCAAGTTAACACTAAATCAAGAAGACTGTTAAGCTCTATCTTACTTCTTATAGATAGTCAACTATAAAACTTAAATGTAAAGGCATAGATATATATAAAGTGCTGGCTAATTATCTTTCAAATTGGAAATCGTGCTTTTACTTGTATGTGCGTGTGAGCGTGTCTTTGCGGTAACATACGGTCATAAATCATAATATTTAAAAAGCTTAATGTCAGGCTCGAAAAATTACCAAGAAAATATCCCGACCTATACAACATAAGTCAGTAAGCGTATCATGCTAATACTAGGCAAGACGCAACCACACATGGGCATGCATACTAATGCACGCACAAACTCACGCATACACAATTAACCACAAGAATGAAATCACACCTTGCTGAAATTAATGAGTATAAGAAGAGGAAAAATCCCTAGAAAGATGACAAAAACAGTCCATTATTTGAAAGAAAAAGGATAGAGCAAAAAAAACTTGAGCAAGAAATAACGACTTACATCCCGCAACAATGGAAGAACGTGTTGCCGCAGGCAAGGTGACAGATTCTGATTTTCGTTGTCCGAAGTTGAAGAGGCGGGTTTATCATAATCTGATAGGTCTAAAGCGAGTGCAGGTGCTGGCAGACCCGGACCACCAGTTCGAGTCACAATTGCTGGCGCGGCTGAAGCTGATAATGAATGGGAAGGGGAAGAGACTGAAGTGGAGGCCGAGGGGAGTAAACTAGTAGAAAGCCCAGTCCCGGGGAGGCCCGGAGGGAGAGAATACATTTCGAAGTGAGCGGACTGTGGCCGTAAAGAAATAGGCGACCCAAGGGCAACTGGGGGACCTGAAGACGAGGGTGAATGACTGGGGCGTGAGGAACGAAGTACACCAGGCGGGTTGCCTGGCGCTACATGATACTGTTGGTGTTGATGCACATATGCATGAGTAACGTGAGGATGTGGCTGAGATGGCTGATGAGGCCCCACAGCACCAGATCCAGCCGCCGCTACAGTTACACCGGTTGATGACGGCCCAGAAGGCGATTTCCGTCCGGCTGGCCGCGGAGCATAGAACTGAGCATTATGGTTGCCTGAGACCACAGATCCGGATGACGAAGGACTATTGCTAGAGTCGCGAGAAGAGGAGCCGGGACGACTAACTGGAACCAAAATAAAGCAAGAATAGAACAAATGTAAGAGAGATTTGACACTTAATTCAAGACTAGTGTTAGTTCTTGTTGAAGAGCAACATGCGTGCACGAATATATCTATGGCTGTCTTCCTGTAACAGAATACAGACGAATTTTATATACAGTTACGTGTGTGAATGAACATGAGGAAATACACTCATTTAGTTGTTTTTAAATACTGTACGAGTTAGAACTAAATCGAAGGGCAAATACCAGCCAAAGTATGAAAATGCAGTGAATTATGGATTGGAAAGCTATTTTAATTAGCACAATATATCGGCCAGGATGGAGAGAAGGCAGAAAAATTATATGCCCGTGCCATACTTACTTGGGAAACTCAGAAGATTTAAGCCATCACAAAAGATAAAAGAGAATCTCCTAACAATAAGATATCTAGAGGTTGTCTGACCTTGTTTTCGCAACTTGGTCATATTGGTAGGAAGACTTAGGTGAACTCACCTAGTCCAGAGTCCATTGAATGCATGATCATTTTTAAAGTCGGACCGTGAACATGGTACATTCCCAGATGTTTGCCAGCATCGTCCGTGAGTATCGCCATTCTTAGCACCACACAACTCGTAAAAAAGACAAGTGAAGCCCTTGACCTGGGATATTCAGATTTGATATATCCTCGTATCACGCCTTCATTGTCACAATTTTTACCGTGCTTATTTCGATGTAGTGTGGTGGCTCCTTTGAGCGGCATTCATGAAAACTCTCCACACTGCACACTATCATTCTTATCCCCTTACCCTTGTCCTGGGAACGCAGTCCTCCTCACAGTCTCTCTCTTGCCCCGTAAGATCCGTCTGCTATGTCACTAGTTCACGTATTTCTTTCTATCTCTGCCACACCATCTGTACTAGTCGAGGCGTTATTACCTCTCCCATGCGTCTGGGTGACTAATTCGAGTCTAAAGCCTTTGAGTAAATTTCATGGTCACGGCTTTGCTAAATGGACCACGTCTATGGCACAACAAACCTACTTTAAGCCAACTATATCCAGTCTCCGCCGAGTCTATCCTGCTTCTATCTCTAATAGCAAGTCCATGACTTGCTATGCCTTAGTCTTTTGTGTGCCAACTTACAAACGTTGTGGTTAAATATTAAACCTAATCAAAGCAAGCAGTACCACAACTTTTGTGGGTTAGCGCACAAGAGACTAAGGCATAGCAAGTCTATGACTTGCTATTAAGGATAGAAACAGGATAAACGCAGCGGAGACTGGATCTAGTTGGC